AAGGTTAGAGACGGGATCCACGCGCAGCACGTACTCCTGCTAAGGTTAGAGACGGGATCGACGCGCAGCACGTACTCCTGCCAAGAGACAACAATCAAATGTAATAAAATAATTAAATAACAAAAATTTCCACGACTGTCTAGAGATATATGTACATAATAATGCAGGAAATGAGCGACTCGACTCACTCACTCTTTCTCCTCTCTCTCCACACACGCACAATTACCTTGAATATCCTCCTCACTAAATTGTCGAGCAGTTCCCACTTGGTCTTGCCGCTAACGAAGATGGATCCAATCAGAATGTCTGCTTGTTTGTCGGCCTGCAGGGACAGACGCAAACCGATTACACATCATGGTGATTCGCAATGCTTGCAAGAACATCATACACAAAATTGCTACGAGCAAACGTACTGCAAAATTTGCAACGACGCCAGATACAAAATTTGCAGTGATGCCATCTAAGAAACAGTTACGCTAAAAACTATTCTGCGGAAGAGGAAAAAGATTGAACACACCACAACATGTGAAATGACAAAAAAAACTGCTACGATCAAACATTCTCAAAAATTCGCAATAATGCCAGATATAAAGCAGTTACAAATTACAATTGAACATATACTGACAAATGCAAACTGACAACAAATATGAATCCGTTATGACCACAAATAAATGTACTCCAAATACTTGGATGCTACACAATAAAGAGAGGGGTGGGAGAGCGAAGGAGAAAGAAAGAGACAGATAAGATTGAGAGAGAGAGAGCGTGAGAGGGAGTGAGGGGGGATGGGAGAGAGAGAGGGTGGAGTGAAAGGGAGGGATGCACTTACATGCGTCCATTTGCTTGAGTCCGTGTGCCCACCTAAGGACACTGACACCGATATCCGCCTTCCCTCCTTCTCGGCACTACTTTAACTAACTTATGTCATCTATTTAATATATAATTAATAATTTACACAGGAACCTGCATACTGGATGCTTCCATCGACATCGTCGAATGTGTGCTATAACGAAATACGGCGTATTGATTTTACTTCTGCAAAATCACTGAAAAGAAAATTTGACAGTGCATGCAGAAGTCCAGAAACTCCTAGGGGACTCAACCGTGGCGTTTCAAGGAAAACGATCCCAGAACCGACACCTTCTGATCTGGCAGACTTATTTGGACAGATACATGCGACTGGCGTGAAGTCCGCAATACTGTCAGTAGTTGAGCCATACGCTGACGAGTTTATACCAGCATCAGTAACAACTCAGTACCCCACCGTACTGACGGAACTTCGAGATGAAGGCACATTCCATCTCAACTACAAAGATCTGCTGGAGAAATGTGCTGACATAAACATTGAGGTCTCTAGTGAGGAAGCAGAACGGGTGGAGGGAGCAACCCGTGAACAGGCTAATTCACGGATGTGGTTTCAGTTCAGGTCTGGTAGGATCACAGCATCAAAAATGAAAGCTGTTTGTGTTACCGACCCGACTAACCCTTCGCAGAGCCTGATTAAATCGGTTTGCTATCCAAACAGCAAACCATTCACGACTGCGGCTACGAAGTGGGGTTGTGAACATGAAAAACTTGCACGTGGCAGATTTCTTCAGGAGCTTAGCCAGTTCCATGAAAACGTCACTATTGCGGACAGTGGACTGGTGATTTCTAGTGACCACCCGTACATAGCTGCATCACCAGATGGCCTTGTGTGGTGTGACTGCTGTGGTCAAAGCTGTCTAGAGATTAAATGTCCGTACTGTATTAGGGACCAAACACTGGGCGCCTGTAGCGATCCGAAATTCTTCCTGAAACCTGGACCAGATGGACAGGTGATGCTTGATGCTAAGCATGCACACTACTACCAAATCCAGACACAGATGGGTGCAGCAAATTTGGAGGCTTGTTACTTTGTTGTTTGGACGGAACGTGATATTCACATTGAACGGATCATGTTCGATGATTGTCTGTGGAAGGAAATGTGCCAGAAATCGAAGCAGATATTTCAACTGGCTATCTTGCCAGAACTCGTTGGCAAATTTTATTCACGGTGTTCAAATACCCTCACACCACTGACATCGCTGCCTTGTGATTCCTCCCAAGTTAACCGCCAAGCCAGTGATGACAACACCTGGTGTTACTGTGGGCAAGTGGAGTCCGGAAGAATGATTGGTTGTGACAATCAAAACTGTAAACTCGGCTGGTTTCACTACACGTGTTTACAGATTACCTCGGCACCAAAGGGCAAATGGTTTTGTCCAGATTGTAGAAAAACAATGGCTCTCATTAAACGCAAAGTTACCAAACCGTGCCCGTAACTCGAAATATGTGATGTAAATAAAAATGGTCATATTACTGTAGTTTAAAATGAATTGTATTGCATCGTAGTGTATGTTTCACGGACTTGTTTCTAACAGTGTTGTTTCTAGCATCTATAAGAAAGTTTCTTGGAACTAGTTTTCATCGTGATTAGTTGCATAGACATAGTGGTGTTTCTTATCTATGGTATCCTAAACACTATCTATGGTGTATATAGATAGCCACTGACGTCATAGGCCTACTGACGTACACTGACGTCACGAGGATACTTTGGTTCATGGAAACATATGCCCACCCATAGATATCTATTTATAAGATACGTTAAGATTTATAAGATAGATAACGTTGTTATAGGATATCTATGTGCCCACCAGGTGTGATGTTGGAATTGTTTGGTGCTGCCCTCGAGTGGCTAAAGAAGAGAAGTTAGACGAGGGTAGTCGCGAACAGATGGCAGCACTAGGCCGCCATGCTGGAGCCTGGAACAGATTGTTGGGAGAGTAAGTCGTTCTGCCTCATAGAAATAAAATAGAATCTATCGGTCAACATCCACCAGGTGAGAGGCATTATGCCGCCTGTAAGTAATTGTAGAATTAAGTGCATAGATAAGGATAAAGATATTTCTAAATCCTGAATACATATCAAGAGTAGATAATAACAATGTTAATTGTTATTATCTACTCTTGATACATATGCAGGCCCGTAGCTAGCTCCAAGAAACGGTATTGCTAGGGTTAGAATACCCCTATAGACCCCTTGCAGTCACATCCCGTTTTTACGAAGTGCTCGGATGCGCCGCCATATTGGAAGCATAGTTTGATAGTAAACAAGCGGAATGGAGGCACGTACAAAAATCAGGACAGATAAGCAAACACAGCTGTTATACCGTGACAGTTTGGACAGGGTTGAGAGAAAAAGATACGATGATAAGTTAAAGCTGATCGATGGAAAGGACCCATACGAACTGAAGGTGTGGTCAAACGATGTGAATTGCCTACCAAGGATAACGTATCCGGACATTGTGAATTATTTAGTGTTTTCTACGAGCGTCTACACACTGGATGACTTGAAATGCTTTAAAAGTCTTGAAGCTTACAATCAGTTCGTATCAGGATGGGTTAGGGAGACGTCAACAGTTGTTATTAATGACCGGCACGTTGTGACCGCTAAGGTAATATTTCATATTAAGTGCATGATGATGATCGATAGACATAGAGTACCGGTACGATACCTATGTGGTCCAAATTCCCATTACTATTACTTAGTCTTTACGCTTGTCTCCGTACGCAGTCGGTACGTATCACTATCAGTATTACCTAGTAGTACTAGTACTAGTAATGCACAATAGAAAGATAATAAAATTATAGATATTTTACATTACATTGGGTGGAGTAGAGGGAGAGTTAAGGATAAAGTAATCTAAGATAATAGAGAGATATGGGGTGTTGTAGCAGGGGAAGGAGTGGGAAGAAGTGATTTGTGAGAACTTGGCATTTTCCTTATATTATTTTTAAAATGTTCATACAGGTCCTACATTCCCAACGACTGAGAGACCAGGCACTGAGACCATGGATTATAGCCGAAAAAGATGGCGTGATTTTAGCAGCCCACTGCAACTGCATGGCAGGACTGGGAGAAGCGTGCACGCATGTTGGTGCACTGTTGTTTACCGTGGAAGGCACTGTGAAGTTACGGGACTCCAGGACAGTTACACAGGAACCTGCATACTGGATGCTTCCATCGACATCGTCGAATGTGTGCTATAACGAAATACGGCGTATTGACATCACCACTGTTCGTGCACAGCAATGATGACATCACCACTGTTCGTGCACAGCAATGATGACATCACCACTGTTCGTGCACAGCAATGATGACATCATCACTGCTCGTGCGCAGCAATGATGACATCACCACTGCTCGTGCACAGCAATGATGACATCACCACCGTGAGCGCGCAGTGCTCATGACATCACTACTGTTCGTGCTCAGCATCGATGACATCACCACTGCCCGAGCACGACGCCGATGACATCAGCACGTGGCGACGATGACATCACGATGACCTCGCGCCGTCTTCGACCACGAAACCCGCTACGAACGTTCCGGAGCCGCGGTGGCTCCCTCTACGACGCGGAGCCGCGGCGGCGCCCTCTTGCGATCAGTAGGAGTTGTGTTCGGGGACGGAGAGGGAGAAGGTAGGTTGCTGAAGAGCCTCCTCCTTGGAGTTGACGGGTTTCAGACCCTCTGTGCGCGCCTTGCCGCGGTAGTTGGCGATGATGTCCTGCGGAAATACAACGAAGATGCGTTATATATATATATATATTATATACGGTACGTGCAGTACATACATACACACACACACGCACGCACGCACGCACGCACGCACGCACGCACGCACGCATGCACGCATGCACGCACATACATACATACATACATACATACATACATACATACTCAAGCACTTACCCACACACACGCACGCACGCACGCACGCACGCACGCACGCACGCACGCAAACACACACACACACCCACACGCATGCATACACACACATACATCGATTACACGTATGTGCACGCGCGTGTGTACACGTACATACACATGTATATTAGTACCAATAACACCAAACAATACCTTTAATTTGTTACTCCCCAAACCTTCTCTCCCCTTTCTCTTTCCCACATCTACCTAAACGTATCCTTCTTCTCTTCCTCCCCTCCCCTTCCTCCCCTCCCAGACCTCCCCACGTCTCCCCCTCCCACACCTACCCAAACATTACCTTCCTTTCTTCCCCTCCTCTCCCAATCCTTCCCTAACCTTCCTCCCCACGTCTCCCCCTCCCTCTCCGCCCCACGCATCACCACTAGGGGGCGCTCACCTGGTCTGCGGGGCACGACTCGCGGAACGCCTCGGTTTCGTACGCGTTGCGCATGTAGCCCCACAGCGCGGGCAGGTTGCCGGGGAACTCAAAGTTACGGTACCACTTGGATGCGACACGGATGTGCTGCAGCTTCGGCATCAGTTCACAGTCGTACAGGTTGATGTCGTCACCGCACAGGTACTGTAATCATATTAACGACATCGTCATCATCATCGTTATAATTATCATTATATTAACGACATCGTCATCATCGTTAATGCAATCGTACAGGTTGATGTCGTCCCCGCACAGGTACTGTAATTACCATGTACTTGGTTATCTCTATATTATCCATGCAATTGTCAGCTCTGTAACTAACTCATGTGGATTGGATGACCAAAGCCTTGATAATGATTCAATAGAATTAATTGATGTTACATTTCATTATAATAAATTTATTTTTTATCAATTATTGATTGTTCACAAAATTAATACAATTCAAAAGTTATTATGCACTTATTCATTCGAGGAAAGTAACATAGCATAACGTTGCAACTCACAAAATAACATGCTAACGCATAATGTAATTATATTCTCAAATTAGTGCACGTTTATTTTCAGCCTCTGCGATAAAAGGTTTCGTGAAGAACAAGGAGAATTGCGACATTTTTTTTTCGTGAGGAAAACTCGGCTTTTCGAATGTAGAAAAATAAACTATAGAGAGAAACTGGGTCCCGATCGATCGTTCAATCGCTGTTGTCGTTACTATGGCGACGCGGAAACGTGGAATGACGCGGCTTACCGCGGACAACATGGCGCGGATTCAACAATCTAAGAATCGTTCAAACATCGCGGAATAACTAGAATTAATTTCTCTTCGTTATTGCTCACCAGATCATTGCAACATGCATAGCTAGCCAGGGCCCGATTTAGGAGTGGGCAGCTGCCCATGGGCCTCCAAATATTTGATTTAAAAAAAATTTGTTAAGGAAAAATATAGGCTGACCTGAATGACATGCACGCAACCCGTATCAATCAAAACCAAACCGTTATTGTGCGCATTTTACATCTTAAATACGTAAGACATAGCGGCATAACCCATATTGTATTTGTTTGTGAATGGTATAGTCAACTACAGGGGGAAACGTACCAACGGTTCAACGTAGCCAATATTCTCTCTCTTATTGCAGTTGACTTTTTTATGGCATTATAACAAATGATGGCTGCCCACGGGCCTCCACGTGTCTAAATCGGGCCCTGTAGCTAGCCTCTCTGTCGCTCCCCCTCGCTCCCTTTATCCATTATCTTGCTTTCTCTCTTCTCCCGCTCTCTCCGCGTCGTTCCACTGGCTACACAGGTTTACCTAGATGAAATCAGAGATGCCAACACATATTTGAAGCAATCTGTAGTTTCTGGCCATCAAATTAGTAGTTCGAGGGTCATGCATGCCCCCCCGGAAAATTGTTTGATTCTGAGATGCAATTTCCTGCATTCTGAGGGTAAAAAATGACAATAAATTGAAAAAAAAATTTTTTTTCGATCACAGTGAAATTCGTAGTTTGGTACAAACTGGTCGTAGTCGTGCAAAAGGAATAGAAATTCGTATAAAATACAGATAAATCATAGTGGTTGGCATCTCTGTATCACGGCTATCACCGCCGTCCTGTTCTACCTCTAGTTCCCGCATTTTCTTAATCGCCATAACCTTTTCACTAAGGCTGTCCGTCGCCGAAATCCTGGCATGCGATAGTTACAAGGAAACATGCATCCACTGCATAATCTTGGCATAGGCCTACCATGAGTGGAAATTAACATTACATCCACAAAATCACCATCAGACTTGTTGAATACCCTTAAAGGAATAATAGGTGCATTGATTATGCAATGTTGACGAATGCTAGAGTAACTGGCACCTTGTGTAGTTAATACGTACATTACCTTATAGCCAAACGCGTATTAGTTTGTCCAATATCACTGCTGGTTACATTACAAACAAGACTTGAAATCGGTTGTTGATATGTATCAACGTATCATTTACGTGCCGTAAATGTCATCCAGGAGTCAAGCGATGACGTAAACATTTGTGCGGCCCGTATGTTTTGGACGCCAGATGAAATGGAGGTGTCAGCGGTGTAACCACGGCCACGGACTAAACATGGAAATGGAGTAAAACACACGTACTAATCACGGACGCACGTGGACAGCCCTGACAAAAAGTTCCGTATCACGAGCGTCCATGTTTACGAAATCACTGATGATAGCATTGCGTACGGCCGAGAATGCGTGCGAAAATGTCCGGTGCACTATAAATCTGTATCACACCTGCTTCGCCAGCAGCGGTTTCAAACTGTAAACAACTGATTTTTGGACTGCGGATTTCAATTAGACATTTCTTAGTAACCAGCAGTGATATTGGACAAACTAATACGCGTTTGGCTATAAGGTAATGTACTTATTAACTACACAAGGTGCCAGTGACTCTAGCATTCGTCAACATTGCATAATCAATGCGCCTATTATTCCTTTAATCTAGAATATATATAAAGGTACTCTAGGTTTACCAAGCTGCTGCTGCCACCTGGTGGCCGAAACGCACCGAAATCAAAATACAACATTCTAGTCTCGAGCGCAATTCCGAGCGTGGCAGTCGTCGCGCTACGCGATTACTACGATCGCGATTCGTGCGCCATCGCACCGACAATCGTCGCCACGCCGACGACAACACACGGTAACCGCCGGCAACGACATCGTAGTTTAACCGACGGCAACCCGCCGACAACCTACGGACGCGAACCCGATGGCGAAAAATCGACGAGCGTCGCAGCTCTCTTGCCATAACTACCGCCCCGACGTTCACTTGTTCGGACCGTCTCGGTGATCGCGGGCGGATGGCGTCTGGGCGCGCGTGTGCAGATCAAGTGAACGTCTTTCGCGGGAATCGCCGACGGAGCGATGAGAGCTACCGGTTCCGGTAATGTTTTTGCTTCCGGATCTGCATGAACTTTTCTCCGCAGTACGCTCGCGCGTGCGTGCGCGTGTGTATCTATATGTATATATATATATATATATATATATATATGTTTATGTATGAATGCACTTATGCAAAGTTACACAATCATAAACTCAGCCATCGACGGGACCGCCTTCCGCTTAGACTGGCGACGGCCGCTCCAGCTAACCACGCGTCTAGCAGCGGCGACCGTCGGCGGCAGTCTACGAGAAAAATTGCGCGACATCATGACGTGTACGATTGGTCCCCTTATATGGTGTGGTTCGTTAACCAATAATATATTCTTAATTAAACAACTTTAGGTACAGCGGAGGCAGCAGACAAAGAGCGGGAACTTACGAATTGCAGCAAAAATGCGGGAAAAATACGGAAGAAATCGCCTCAAAACGCGCCGCCTTCAAACGACGCCGCCGCTGCGCCGAATATCGAAAACATTGCATTAACGAGAGGCAGGGGGAGCCACTGTCTTCATCCCGATTTCCCCGGCTTCGTGCCAAGCTTATCTTTGTTTGCGCCGCGCCTCTGCTCTGCCGCTGCTGCTGCTGCTGCTGCTGCTGCTATTGATGCTGCTGCTGCTGCTGATATTGCTGCTGCTGCTGCTGCTGCTGCTATTGATGCTGCTGATGCTGCTGCTATTGATGCTGCTGCTGTTGATGCTGCTGCTGCTATTGATGCTGCTGCTGTTGCTCCTGCCGCTGCCGCTGCTACTGCCGCCACCGCTGCTGCTGCTGCTGCTGCTATTGATGCTGCTGCTGCTGCTGCTGCTGCTGTTGCTCCTGCCGCTGCCTCTGCTCTGCCGCTGCTGTTGCTGCTGTTGCTCCTGCCGCTGCTACTGCCTCCGCTGCTTCTAACCTCTCACTATCTAGTCGTACACTGCTACTGCACTCATCGTACGCAAACTAAGTATATAACTCTGACGCTAGGGTAGATTTACATTTTACAAATAATCGCAAATAATCGCAAATAATCGCGCGTCCGCCTCATCACCGCCTTCCCGCGCGCGACGCACGAGTTAACAGATTCCTCGCAAAGCTTGAACTTTGACCTGTGACACAGCTAACAACGGCAAACGTCGCACTCCATCGCCGAGAGTAAGATGGCGAGATGCGCCCGCCGCCCACTAAATATTTCACGCGTTCCGACGTAAACGGGGCGACGCGACAAACGAATAAAAAAACACCATGCGATTTCACGGAACGGGGGGAAAATGGGAATGTCGTCGGCGTGACATCATCACTGTTCGTGCACAGCAATGATGACATCACCACTGTTCGTGCACAGCAATGATGACATCACCACTGTTCGTGCACAGCAATGATG